ATAGCTATGTCAGACATTTGTTCTCACGTTCTTCTGGAATAATTCTGAACAGAAGAATGTGTGAAATTCTTTTTCTCCTTTCTTACAGGTACGGAAATGTAACGTGTGTTGTTTACACTGGTGACAGAGATGCCACTGGAGAAGAAATAGTAGAAGGTGCTTTCAGAAGATTCAACATTAAATTAATTCACCCTGTGAAGTTTGTATTCCTAAAAAAACGCTACCTTGTGGAAGCTTCTCTTTATCCTCACTTCACTTTGCTGGGACAAAGTTTGGGATCAGTGTTCCTTGGCTGGGAAGCTCTTCTAAAGTGTGTTCCTGATATTTATATTGACTCAATGGGTTATGCCTTCACACTTCCCCTCTTTAAATATTTAGGAGGTTGTCGCGTTGGATGCTACGTCCATTATCCCACTATCAGCACCGATATGCTTTCTGTCGTCAGGAATCAGGATACCAGGTTTAACAACGCAGCCTTCATTACAAACAGCCCTTTCTTCAGCAAATTTAAGCTTGTCTACTACTGCTTCTTTGCTTTCATGTACGGGTTGGTTGGTTCTTGCAGTGATGTGGTAATGGTTAATTCCTCTTGGACACTAAATCACATCCTTTCCCTCTGGAGAGCTGGGGCATGCACTAGTGTTGTGTATCCACCGTGCGATGTCCAGACTTTCCTGGATATTCCACTGGAAGTGGAAAAGAGCACCAGTGAATATTCCATTGTTTCTGTCAGCCAGTTCAGGCCTGAGAAAGATCACCCTTTGCAAATCAGAGCCTTCGCTAAGCTGCTGAAAGAGAAGCGAGTGGGGCAGCAGCCGTCGTTGAAGCTGATCTTAATTGGAGGCTGCCGTAACCAGCAAGATGAAGAGCGTGTCAATAACCTGAAACGTCTTTGCGAAGAGCTTGGAGTTGGTGACGATGTGGTGTTCAGGATAAACATTCCCTTTGAGGAGCTCAAGAGACACCTGGCCGAGGCCACCATCGGCCTGCATACAATGTGGAATGAGCACTTCGGGATCGGTCAGTACCTTTCCTCAGTTCAGCCGTTTGTCCCTCAGTGTGTAGGCATAGAGGTCTGCATGCCAAGCAGGTGTCCAGCTCCCATCCCCATTGGAGCCACTGTAGCTGCAGTAAAGCCTACAGGACCGATGCAGATGTCTAGCCACTAGGTGCTACTGTAGTGCAAGCTGAAGTGCTGTAGTTGTAGACTGTTAATCCTGGGCATCCCCTGGTCACCTAAACAGACAGCTAGTCCCATGTGTGCTGCCCAGGATGTCCTGCTGACCTCCAGCTGTCGCCCTGCAAGGTCGTGGGTCTCCTCATGGTTCTTGTGTTAGGTTTACCAGCCTCACACAGAGGCCTTCCAGAGCCTCAAAAGGCAGCAGGTACGTCTGATTAAGCAGCTTAGGTTGTTCTCCACAGACTGCAGGAGGAGCTTAGACACAGTTCATGTGTAGATGTCCATGTGTAGAGATTTTGGTCATATTTCACCTGCCTAAAATACTGTTTGAAATGTGCAGTGTATGTCATGGAGCTCAAGCTGCTGTTTCAAAGGTGTGAGTCTCCCACAGATCTTGTCTGTTATAAATGAGCCCCGTGTAGTTGCCACCAGGTACCCTGGGCCATCTCATTGCACTGTGCACCTGTGCTGAAGCAAATAAATCAAATCCTTAAATCAATCAGTGCAGCATGCAGCAGAATGCCAAAGAGGAGCTGGGTCCCGGTTTGCAATGTGCTCTCATACAGAATTAAGGTATGGGGCTCAGTTTGTTTGGATTAGTTGAGTCCTGACCTTGAGAGATTGCCCATCTGGCATAAATCTACAAGAGGCTAAGTTAGCAACCAAGCAGATGGATGCCATACTTGGCTATAATGTGACTAAACTGCAGGCAGTGTCTTCAGCCTATCAGGGTACAATTTAAGTATCAGGAGTAGTAGTTAATGGTCTGTAGAAACTTGGTATAAAAAATATACACTGAAGTGTTTCCCAGAAGCAACAGCAAAATAACACGTTCTCGTATTTTTTCCTCCCATAAAACTGTTTGGTTAAATTTATAAAAAAAGTGACACAATCACGCTGTGATTTTGAATTTGAGCATTATTTCACCTTCATCTCAAGGGCTTTTTGCCTGCAAAAAACGTGTTCCAAAAGCATTATTTATAGTGGTCAATGCTTGAGCTGTGGAAACTTACAGAAATCAAATCAGAACTGAGTAGAATCAGCAATTAAAGTGATTTCTGATGTCTGTTCTGGAACCATGAAGGATAATTAAGTTGTTATAGACATTATGTACTCTTACTATGCCACTGCTTTTGGCTGAGAAAAGCTTACTGATTCCCATTTCATTAAAAGGTCTTCCATCAAAAGTACAGGTGTAGTGATAGCAATTTTTACTGATGTCTTGCTGAGTTGTCAAAAGCTGTAAGATTTGTTAATCTGCAAAATACTGAACTTCTGAGTATTATCTGATTGAAATGTGCTCAGTGGGCTTCTTTTTCAGTATCTTTCAATATGTTTAAAATCTTCAGTGTGAATGAAAAAATAAAGTCACATTCAGCTATAACTTCTAATTTTTTTTTGCAGCTGTCACCACACCATAAAACCAGTGTTGCAGTGTTCTGTCACAGAATTACATAGTGTTCTGTCACAAAGCTACCTAAGATGCTTATCTTTACATTTATTTCAATTTTTAGGGTTTTCCCCCCCAGATATATAATGGTGGTAGAATCTGTCTCAGGTAAATCAGATGTATTATAATAACCACAACTTAACCAATTATATTTGATTTCTAATTCCAATTTTATGTGTTTAGGAGAAACTATAGTTTCAATCCTTAGATCTGTAAAAACTTAAATTTGTGTTTCTTATGAGACCATTTTCACTGTATTTTTCCAACTTAGCTAGAATGGCAGTCTGTAGTAACTTACAGTTCTGGGTGAGTTTTACTGCTGTTTAACTTTCCAGTATTTTATAGAGAGCCAAAGTACATGATGTGCGCATTCCTATCATCGTGTTTTGTATCTTTTACAGGAGTAGTTGAATGCATGGCAGCTGGCACAGTTATCCTGGCTCACAACTCTGGAGGCCCCAAATTAGACATTGTGGTACCCTATGAAGGACACGTTACAGGCTTCCTAGCAGACGACGAGGACAGTTATGCCGAGACGATGGCTTATATCCTCTCCTTGTCTCCTGAAAAAAGATTGGAGATCAGAGAAAACGCTCGTCGCTCTGTGCGCAGGTTTTCAAACCAGCATTTTGAATCCACATTCCTGTTATCCGTGGAGCCATTATTTAAATAAATGTATATAAATAAAAGTTTATATGACTAAAATTAACTTTTTGTATTTGACTATGTGGCACCTGTAAATATATCTGATCTATGATCCCTTTGTCCTATTCAATAAAGAGTTTTTTTTTCTTTCTGCTGTATGTAACAGGGTTTTTTTTTTTTGTACTGGGAAAGAAATGCTTCTATGTTGACTTCATCACAGTGTGGTGGACTTCAAAACCCTCTGGATTCACAAATCATGATATTGCTTTGGTAAAAGAACTATTATCAGGAAGCTCTTTTATTTATTGAATACTTTCAGTCATCACCCATTTTATGGCTCTCTACCCACAGTTACACTTTTTGAAGCCCACACTTTTGTTTTACACCCTTTCTATACGGTAATTTTTTTTCCCCAGAATCTGTAGCACATTTTCAATTTGATCTTCCCTGTTGTGTGGCAAAATTCTGTTACATAGAATTTTAATTGCGGTTCTGAAGATCTTTACCTCCAGTGATTCCTTTAGGATAAGCATGTAGTAGAATGCTTTTTATAAGTGTAATAATTGCACTTTTCTGTGATCCTTTTATTAGGTATTTCCTCATGTCCTTTCATGGTATAACAACTTAATGGTATTTTTCTAACCCTACTCGATTGAAAGGTTTTCTGTTCCTAGGGAATAGAAAGGTCTAGATTAGAGGGCATTATTAAAAGCTACGCAAACATGAATGTTAAAGCTCTAAGTGACTGCTTGTTATAAAACTGACAACAGTACAAATTATATGTTCGAGAATTCAACATTTGCTTTTGTATGAATATGGAAAAAACACATAGCCCTTTTTTTTAGCCATCAAAGCAATATTTTATATTTTTGCAAGTTAAAATAAGTGCAAAACTTACACTAAGCAGATTTGTGCTGTATATATAGTACAGCAGAGAAAAGATCGCCTAGGGGGTTCCTGGGCTGTGTGGAAGACAACAGACAGAGCTGGTCAGTGAGCCAACCAGGGACAGTGCCTCACTGGACCTCCTGTTTGTGAACAGAGAAGGACCGGTGGGTGATGTGATAATTAGAGACCATTTTTGGCACAGTGATCATGAAATGATAAAGTTTTAAATTCTTAGATAAGGAACAGTGTCAGCAGAACTGCCACCTTGGACTTCTGGAGGGCAGACCTTGGCCTCTTTAGGAGGCTGGTTGACACAGTCAGGGCAGTAGTCCTGAAGGGCAAAAGAGTCCAGGAAGGCTGGACTTTCTTCAAGAAGGAAATCCTAAAGGTGCAGGAACAGGCTGTACCCATGTGCTAAAAGACGAGCTGGCAGGGAATAAGACCAGCCTATCTGGAACTCAGGGTGCTAATAAACCCTTTTACAGCTACTATATTAAACTGCTGAGCAGCTGATGATACTATGTAGGGTCAGTACTTTGTAAATGAAACTGTGGATTACAAAACTCTACTGGCAGTACAAAGAGATGATGAAAAGATGGAAGAGATTCTTAAAACTAGGAGCTGATTGAGTTAGGGAAATAAAATACACAAACTAGGAGTCTTTCTTACATGATACAAAAATGGTTAAACCGAGTATGCTATCAGAAATTTGCTCAAAAAAGCATTGTCAGAGATGTCTAGGTAGTTTAGAATAATAGATGAAAGTGCATTTCAGTCTGGATGAGGATTTTTCAACAACTGATTTTTTTTTTCCTTTTAAACAAAATAACAGCCTTCTATCCATTTTATTTGAGTGTTTAATGCTGTTGAAAAGCAGATCATTTACTTAGCATTTATTGTCAGCTATCCTTAAATTTTGTTACTGATGTGGCTGAAATTTCAAGCAAGTTAAAATTTTGTGACAGTAACCCTACTGTTCTAAGTAGCTCTTGCTTCCTGCTTGCATTTTTCATGATGTGTGTGAACACTAAATTAGCCATGAGTATTTTCTAAATCGTCATCAGATTTTCCAAGTAGTTGGTGAGGTAAACTCATCTTTTCTTCATCTGTTTGACCTTTATTTATTGAAAAGAAGGGAGACTCCGTGGTTCTCTCTGCTGGAGAAGCTGCCAATTTTTCCAGAGATTCCTCCAGCTCATGTCTGAGTTCATCTTCAGAATCTTCAAAATTTCTGCAAATGAAAACAAAATAATTATATTAAGTAAATATAACTTTGTTACAAACCTTTCTCCTTTCAAGGTGTTTTAGATTTTTTTAAAACACTTTATAAAGAATATACATGCAACACATATAATATGAACTGTTTCTTTTCTCCTTGTGAGATTATTTACCTGTGCTTATATCACAAGAGAAAGGAGCTGCAAAACCATTAATAATTAATGTTTTTGCATAATGTAATTTTTAATGACAGCATTGGCTCTGGCATATTGAATTACAGAATTAAAAGTTAAATTAGCAGACTCTGTAAGTAAGCTTTTTCATTTATTAATTTTAAATAACACCAAAAAAAGCTTTAGGCAATGCAAGCTGCCATTTCATGAAAACTGTTCAGTTGTGTGGATTTTTCTTCTGATGTACTTGACTTACGTGTCTTCATCATCTGATCTTGGCTCAAGTCTGCCTTCATCAACAGCAACAGGAGAGCATGTTTCTGAATCATCTGTCTTGTTTTCTTTTGGAGGCAACAGAGTTAACTTTCCTTCTGGAAAGGAAAAGTAATTTTCCTTCAGTTGTGTAATAGAAAACTGTAAAAGTGTTTAAAGTAAAAGCAAATAAGTAAATGGTTGAATTGTTTTGTTGTTGTTCAAATCACAGCAATGTAAATACCATGCTTCTGTTGATCACAAGTTTTAGTCAGTGGTTTGTAACTTCTGATTCATGGAGCCTAGTGGGTTTGTAGACCATAGGCAAGGAACTTAAGAAAGGCAATCTGGTGTTGTTAGGTTTAAGTTCCCAATATAGGGATCTCTCTTTTCAGTGGAAAACTACTTAGGGGACTAGTGTTTGGGAAAATCTGAAAATTACTACTTGGATGTAACTTGGATGGTTACCTAAAAATGCTTCCTTCCAAAGGCTGAAGGGCAAATGTGACCTGAAGGTGTGAGAACAATGTTGTTACTTTAGCATAAAGACTAAAATGTGATGCGACAGAAATCTGACTGTTTGGGTAACACTCTGCTCCACAATGTCAGCTTGAGTGAAAGGGCAGAACTGGGTATTGAGTGCCATTTCTGAAGAAATGTAATGGATAAAAACAACAGCAATTAGAATACCCATGTGACTTACTCTTCTTCAACCCTGTGAACTGCTAACAGTGAAAAGTGGTTTGAGTTTTATTTTGCCTTTTTTTTTTTAAGATGTGTAAGCAATAAAGCTAGTCTTAGGAGAGGGATTTAGCTAGCACAATTAGCTGGTTTTGCCCCCAAGATGGGGCAGTTTTAAAAGAGCTTGTTGTGCTATGAGATAAAAGGTTTGTAAGCTATAATTAGCAGGAAAGGGCTGACTGCACAGTTGCAAATGAAAGATATTTCTGACAATACATTAAAATTGTTGAAACTTAGATGCACAATTTACTTGCTCAGAAGTCCGGTCATCCAACTGTACATTCAGTAGATTGGCAACTGTGCATAAACCCACAATTTCCAGTTTCTGGAAGAAGCGTCTCCAGGCTTCTTTCTGTGGATAATACTCTGGCCTTATAGTGAAGAATTTGGATGAAAAGTAAATGAAATTTTTAAAGCAGTCTCTTACTTTAGAAAAGTGCACTGCAGAATAAGTGAGTTTGAATCCATTTCAGTGTCAACATGGATCATGTTGCAAAGTAAGTCACCACTGTCATTTAAGTCACCATATACTACAATTTACAGAAACACATGTGTTTGTATAAATGCTTTTTACGGGGTTCTTCAACCTCAACAGTTGCAGGGGCTGGATCCAGGTTTGTGGTACCTGCCAACTTACCTCTGACTACCCAGGCAAACAAACACATGAAAGCAACAGACAGTAAGTAGGGCTTGCCCTTTTCCCTGCTATTGAAAAACAGCAACACTGAAAGAGGTCTTTCAATGCTTCAGGACAGAGCACAGGCTCCACCCAGGTATTTCTAGTTTGCCAGCTGCTTGAAGATGTTAGTTTTCATCATAGACCCCCTCGCCAATTATAGAAGAAATAATACACTAAAGAAGGACGTGCAGAATTTACAGTAAAAAAACATCCCACCTATTTCTTGTTCAGGACAGATAAAGGAATCACTAGACAGCTCTGCTTCTGCTAAGATGTTCAGAAGAGTCTCTGGTGGTGTTTGTTTCCACTGCTTCCTGCTTTCTGGGATGTCTTCAGGCAGAATAGCATGGTCCACTGAAGAACAGAAAGGTTCTTGGGTCACTAAAGCATGACTGTGGCTTGGCACTGTCTTTTGTCAGAGTCAGACTTTTTAGTCCTAACACAGATTTCTTCCTTTTTTTTTTTTTAATTCTGGAACCTATATATATTTTTTTCCTTTATGAAAAAAAAAAATTCCTGAATTTTTTTATAAGTACTTGATCTGATTGATATTGCACAGAAAAAATAGTTTGGACGATGTCTAACACCAGTTTTAATGCTTTTAATGGAGTGTCAGTGCAGCCACCCCTGGGTGAGCCTATACTTTTGCCTGGGTAGCAACACTGTGTGCAGGGGGAAAACAGAACTCCACCACACTCACTGCCCTAGTTCTTGCTTGTCATCAGCTCAAGGCCAAAGAAAGTAGTGTTGATTAATTGCATAGACTGACATTTTTAGCCGTTGTTACCCAGGCCACAGAGTAATTCATAAAATGCACCCTTAATAAGTAAAAGCAGCACAGCATGATTACAATGATAGAGGGGAAAGTGATGACTGTATTCTGTGGCTTAATATGTACAATAACCTCTCTTATTATGATGTCCTGCAACTAAAAGCATGTCAGATAATGTGAACATTCAGGTGTGGATGAGTTCCATTTTAGGAGCTCACTACTTTCACTGAAACACAAAACTTTCTTACCAAGTTCATCTTCAGCCATAGTAGGACATAGAGATGTGACATCAGCATCAGCTAAAAAATTCAGTAGTGTCTGAGGGGCTCCAGCTTGCCAATGTTTTCTGGGTTTTTTTGTATCATCTACGTCATTAGACTCTTAAGGGGTAGAAAAAGAGGAGGCAAAGTTATTTAATTTTTTTTTAAGTAGATTTCAATGTGATTATAATATTATGTGACGTAAAGAGAGCACTCATCAGATAAACTTTCTATAGCCTTAAGTTACTGAATTTACCTAACTCCTATGTAATTTTCATTACATTTGAGTATTAATATTCAGCATTGCATTCCCCCAAGAAATACCTGTTTGGTATCCAGACAGTTCTTCCAAAGCTCTGTCCATATGATTTTCATGAACTTCCACCAATTTCTCCTTAAGATTCTCACCATCCACAAAACTTAAAGTCTCACTGAGTTTATCTAGTATCTGCAAAAAAACATAGGTTACTCTGGAAACAGAAAACAAATATGGTACAATAACTAATCACTCCTCATTTTACTGTTTGCCAGACAACCTCACGTATGCACAGGAAAATTGTGTAACAAAAAGTGAAGCAGCAGATCTCAGAAGTCACATTGTGATTTGGGAATCAGAGGGCTGCATGGGGCTCTGCAGAGATGTGAAAAAACAGAATGACAAAGTCGTGCTTTATAAATTAAAAATACACATACTAGAAATACCATGTATTTTCTATGTTGCTGTTAGAAATATTTTTTAAAAATTAATGTACTAATACAAAACTTAATAGGTAGCTATTACATGATGATCAGCCACAAATGTCATTCTAATAAATGAAATCACATAATGTTGTCTCTAGTCTCTCCTCTACTTTTGATACAAAACAGCTGCTTCCTATCAATGTTATTCTTGCTTTGGGATACAATACCAGTGAAAAGAAACAGAAATGTTCCAAAACAACTTACAAATCAAATTTGTCATTTGCAGACTAACTCTGTTTTGAGATAAGTTCTTCCTCTCAAGTCCAATTTATGAAATATAAATACCTGCGATCCTTTGTCTTTAACCATGATTGACCCACTTATCACCCAATTTTCTTCTAAGCAATTATCCTCTTGAAGAAGTTTAGATATATGCAATATATCAACAAATCCTCAGTAGGAAGTTTATATATATGCTTATATATATAACATGTATATATATTGTAATAATGATAGCAAAGGTAGAGGATGATGGCAATGGAAACAAATCTTAGATTATGGAGCTGCCATGGTTTCAGATAACTAATGTAAATTCTTTGAATATAATTATAACGTACCTCTGCTTCTTGAATGCTGTCTTCTTCAGGAACACAAACATCTAAATTAATTTCAAACTTTACTCCTCCCTAAAGAAAACTCACACGTCATTAATTTAGCTCATGAAATAAAAACATTTAATTAAAAGTACACAGTTTATACTGAAATACAAATTTGAAAATTATTCTTCTATTGGAAATAACATTTATTCAATAATATTTTCCTTCTATTTAACAAGATCAAAGTTGAGCAAACTGGACAAAAATAGACTTCCTTAGATATAGATTATTTTATTTTAGTGATTTTTTGAAATGATTGTATCCACTTTTAATTTGAAGGAAGAGTGTCTTTGATAATAATTTCATTCAAATCCTTGCATTACACAGCCATGGTTCTTACAGCTGGTTCTCAACCAGTGCTACAAGTTGAGTACTGTACTGCTTTCGTGCAATATTTCACAGAATACCTATAGTCCACAATGAGCTTATGGTCAGAAACCTTCCTGATATCTTATATGCATCTCCACTCAATTCTTATCTCCTTCTATAATTTAAAAAGCACCACAGAACAATCTTTTATACCAAAATGTTTAAAACTTAGCAGCCTGACTTGACTTCACTTAAACTTTTAATAAACATGAGTTCCCATGCACTACTAATACACTTTGATATAAAGAAGAGTAGGTAGGGATTGATTACTGTGTAGGAATATCTAAAGAGAGTCTCCCTCAAACGGTCAGAAAAACTCATTTATTTTCTTAGTGATTCTGTTTTCCCATATAAACTATTAACAAACAGTAGACCAGCTCTCTGAATTGACTCTCAAATAACTTGATTTCCAGAGCTACCATAATAACACAATAATTTGAAATGCACAGATATAAGAAGAAAATGGAAAAAGGAATAACAGTAAGGGTGCATACCTTTCTGTTATGTTTTTTTTCTAAGACATTTTGGTCTTGCATATCCTGGAGATGGACTTGTTCAAAGTTTTCTTCCATGTCCTGGAAGGAAAGAAAAAAACCCCAGTTCAAAATACACTCTTTGTAACCACAATATATGTATACTCTGTAAAGAAAGAGACTTGTTTAAGTAGCAAATATAGTCATTAATCTCCCTTGTATATATATCTGTAAGAATATGCTATTTGTTGGCAATTCTGACTTACCTGGCAAAAAGAAAAACAGAAAATCTTGCATAAAGTGCAAACCTCTGATTTTCCAAAAACCTATGTTTGAAAGATACAGTACTGTGTCAAGAAATAAATAATACATGTTTTATTTTTTTTATGATCACATGCAAGATGACTCAGGGTCATTTCATTCCGGAAGACTTTGGAAGTTCTGAAAATCAAGATTTTAGTGGAAACCTATGCCTATAGAAAGTATAGCCATGTTTCCTAGTATTTTGTTTTCTGGTAACACCTTAAATACATTTAATGACTCCTTTTCATGTTCTTATGTCTTCTGTTAGGACCAGACAGATAAAGGCAAAGTAAAGAACAGCATACAGCTTCTTCAGTGATCTATGGTGATTAGTGCATGTCTTCAACCTCAGGCAAAACCACAACAGATTTTTCTTTTTAAAACATCTATGCGGTTTCTCCAGTAGATGGAGAGCCCAGAAAATAGGGTGACATCAAGCAGGTCCAAAATCTAATGTTTCCTTTTCATGCATTTCCCCTTAAATCACTTGGAATATAATTTCTCCCCTAGCGTGGCTCCAGCTGCCTAAAACCCACTTCATCTCATCAAGTGGTGTAAATTTATTTTAGTAAAAGCCAGATCCAGGATCACTGAAGAGGATCCTACTGACACGGCAGCTTTGGCCAATCCGGCTGCAATAAGGTAGTAATGTCTGTCACTGGCTTATGTGTTCTAGCATAAAAAAGAAAAAAGTAAATATGATTGCCTCTATGTTTGAGGTTTGTTACCTGGAGTACTCCTGCTCTAAATCTGAATTCTTTTATATGGTTGTGGTATTCTTCCCGAATTTTCTGCAATTGTTTCAGATACTCCTATTAAAGAACAGTACAGTAGAACACATATATATTACAAATACATACAAAAATAACAGTAGCTAAACAAAATATTCTATCAAATCATGTATAAACAATTAAAAAAGGGATCGTGTGTCCTTTATTGACAGTTTTAAAGAACGCTTGATACTTTCTGTTAGACGATATTTGGGGGTTAAAACTCTTCCAGACTTTAAGCTTTCCAGACTCTTTCATGCTTTGGTTTAGAATTATGTCTAAACCAGCTAAGAATAACCCTAGAACTGTCTGAGTGCTGATGCTAAAGTTGCAATCCAAAAATAGAGGACTAGAAATTATGAAGACAAAAAAATTATGTAATATTTGTTGTATAGCATTTTGCTACCCATAACAAAACACACTCTGGTAACCTTTTCTTGAAGGACCTTTAACATTCCTATGCTTTGAAGCAAAAACTTCAAATTTGGCCAAAATTTAATTTTTCTATAAAGGACACCTCTGTTATTGTTTATATGACAGTCTACCCCAATTTGCCCACATTACAAATGGACAAATCCATAAAAAAATATTTTTTTTGCATATTTAATACAGTATTTGTGGAACTAAACAGCAACGGTTTCTGGAGAGTGTGTAAATGATGAGTATGTTCCAAAGTCTGACCATTATGTAAAAGTTAATATATTCATATTTATTCTGACATTTTTTTAATAAATCAAAGACAGAAAGATTAAATTTGTTTACATATGCTCACATAAGAAATAAGTATCAGTTTGTTTTCTCTGTCTCCCAAAAGCAAAACTAGAAAAGTATGTTGTTTCTCTATAAAAAGATAGAAAAAGAATGGAAAAGAATCAATGATGGAAAAGAGAATCTGATTAAAAAAACAAATTAATATGCAAAGATTACTACTATTAAGGAGTGTACAAAGACAGCTTTAAGCAGCTAAGGAAGAGACTACATTTACCTGTTCTTTCATTTCATTCTTTCTAGATATGTCCTGCTGATGGTTTTTGAGACCCTCTTCCTTTATTTTCTGCTGCCGTATTTTGTCATGACACGGGTCAGCAGAGGATGGTCTCAGCCCCTATGGATGTACAAATGAATCCCAGAGAGAAGGAACTGTCATTTAGAATCCTCTCCTTCAGTGCTCACTCGGTGCACTCCCCCTGTTCCACTGAGGAACGCAGTATAGGGCAAGTGGACTTCTTTAGAGGAAAAAGTTACAGTAGAACTTTACATTGTTATAGTTTTGTATTAGAAAATAAAACCTCGAGATGAGCATTGCAGAGCAGGTCAGGGAATTCACTAGAGCAAAGCCTTCTACCTGTCAGAGTTTGTTTGATGTTAGAAAGACATCAGTTCATCCTTGGATTTTCATTCACTTCCTTTTACAGATTTTATTCTGTGATTAGGTATTTACTTACCAGCTGTTTTTCCACTTTAATCTTGTACTGTTGAGCTTCAAAACGCCTTTGAAGAAATTCTGCAGTCCTGAGAGAAGAAAGTGATGTTCATATAGTACATTTTATTTCACAGACTCTGCTATCTTCTGCACAAATAATTCTCTGTATGTTCTATCACATATGACAAACAGAGCTCTCTTTGTATTGCATGAATAAATAAATATGGATAAAATACTTGTAAATATGGTAGAACAGTAAAATGAAACATATACTGTTCAGGCATGCCCCTTCCTATTACTTCAGTTACATTGGCCTTCTGAAGAATGCAGCAATGCCCTTCACCACCTTTTATTTTTTAAATGGCATATCAAAGTGTTAATGAAAATAAAACTGATTTCCATGATAATCAAAATGAGTGAAAATTGTCAGAATGGATATTCAGCCACCTTTTTATTGTCTTTCTCCCCTGTGCCTAATTCTATCAGTCTTACTGTATTTGTGTAATTTCTAAACTTTTGCTTTGTTGACTGATATAATCATCAGTCACTTGTAAGCTCCCTGTTTTCTATTTATTTAATTTTCTACCTCTAGAATCCACTTGTGCCACGGGGAGCCAAACTGAATTGACTTTGTCCTTAAATAAGGCACCAGAAACTCAGGTCAGAAAAGATGTTCTAAATCTGATGATCCCTAACTGACACATTCTAAACACTGTCATCATTGAATGAAAATTAATGATCCAGACAACCTTAAAGGAAAGCTTTGAAAGTAGACTGTATTAAAAGTCCCTTTCTCAAGGTTTTCAAAGTTCATCCACACCTAAAAAGGTCAGTCACAGAATGGACAGGCAATCTCCTAAGTAATGAAAAGGTTATATCTCTACTTCTTAAGAGAAAGACTTCAAAGCAAACAGTCTGCTGGAGAAAGGGTCTTTATATCTGAAACAGAAATATAAGCTCTGCAGGAAAAAAAATTATTTTCATGGCCTGCCTCTCACTCCTGTTCCCTCCAGCACAGAACTGCTTTTAATCTTTTTATTGTTCTGATCCTGGCGTGAAGGAATGACAGTGTTTATGCCTGATCTGAACAAAAAGTCTACAAAAAACCTGGTTTACTTCTTACCCAATAAAAGACTGGGCTGAGATTTGGGAGACATTTTGACAATGAAATGTCAAACATCAGGACAATACATTCAGAAGGAATTTCTGGACAAACAGGAACAGAAATTGTCTTGTTGTATAAGAAACTTAGGTTAAAAAAAAATACCAAAGACAAAGCAGAGAAGGAATTCTACTAAATGAGCTATGTCTAGTGTTACCTACTCAGGAAGGCTGACAGCTCAGAATATGCATGACAGTTCACCACTTATAAATGGAGTGAAAATTACCAGTCAGGGGGTGGAGTTGCAGCTTGTGCTTTTAGTTTATAGTATTCTTCAACTCTCTGGCTGATATGAGAAAGGTCATCATGTGCATTAGCTTTCCTCTGCAAGTTGTCAAGCTTCTCATAGTAATGACCATAATGGCCACATACTCTGATACTTTCTGGCCTTTCTACCATATTAAATCTGGAGGTCCGTGGCTGAAAATATAATAAATTATGTTAATTCACCTGTTCTCATTTGTAACAGTACAAGTTTGAATTCAATTCCTGTTCTCCCCAGTCTGAGCTGCATGGTAATATAGGCTGTCTACAGTACTGTAAGTTTTCCAAATCCTTTCACATATAACCCAGAAACTTCCTAACTCCTAAGGGCTTATGTAATCTTACCACTGTCTTTTCTTTTTTCCCTGTTCCATCAGCTCCTCTCATTAAGCAGCAGCCCAAATCATTGTGTGAGTCAATCAGCACGGGGCTTTATACTCTGTATACTCTGTAGTGTCATTGTCCCAGAGTCACTTCATTGTTCTGAAGCCTAAAGCACTGAATTGTTTTCAGGAGAGTCTCTTTTTGACATGTGGTAGGAAGGGAAACTTGGAATGTAGTTTTGGGCAGCATACGCATTGATTGCTGCTTTTGGGGGAGCACTGTGCTACTTCATTTCACATCTCTTTGTTCATGGGCCTGCGGGAGTTTGGCTTTCATTTCTCCAAGTCCTTACTGTGATGAAACATCCCTGTATTTCTCCCTTGCTACAAGACTGTCGTTTCCATTTCTTATAAGAACAATGCAGAGAAGACTATCATCTAGCTGCCACTGCATGATGTAAGTGTGGTCAGGCATCTACAAATTTTTCCATGGTGGGAGACTATATGGTGCATGAGGAAAATGCTGATTTTTGCTTATTTTCTTACATAAATGTAAAAGCATCTAAGTATCTGTTCCATAGATTGTAAATACTTTAACTATTCCTCCCTGTTTTTCTTCTTAGAAACACTGAGAATAGGCTCAGGTACCTATAGTATAGTCCAGATCACGATAAAATATAAATTTTGATTACAGCTGTGCACAGTGAAAGGAAAGTTAGCCTTTCTAACTTAATCCATCTCTGGATTTGGATTGGATATGCACAAATGTAACTATGAGAAAAACTAAATCCTATATTCTGCACAGGGCCAGTATTATACATAGGTAATGTAAGTGATTGTGTGATGGATGCAGTCCTGGGAACTCCATGTTCCCGTCATCAGTTAAGCCACCATAACTACAATGTGCAGATCTGGGAGCTCCCACATTCTAAATGTGCTTTCCCTATGTTCACCATCATCCAAGGCAGTACTGCATGCTCTTGAAGATAAACATAAAAGTGTGAAGTGATTCCAAGTAAGAGGCTGGACAAAGCATACAGCTGATATCCTGCCTGAGGAAAGAAGGAGGTGGAAAACAAGTGAGAGACACAAGTGGTTGTGAAAAAGTGGGGCTTGGATTCGGGAGAAGGCTGTCATTAATAAGTATACGAGACAAGGGCAGTGAGCGCTGTGGTTTTGCCCAAGAGTGGGCTTTCAGAGGGGCTGAAGGAATAGGATCAATGTACTTGCTTCTACAAAAAAATTGCAACCACAGGTTTTACTTACTTTTGTGCAAACATGAATGCAAAGCATGCCTGACTACTTTTGTTACAAAGGACCATACCAAAGCAGCCTACATTCAGTGTTTCCTACTTAGGCTTTCAAAAACACCTCTTTGAGGCTTTAGGAGTGATGAACTGTCTCTACTGACTTAGAGTAGGCACTGAGCTAAATTTCATACATCTTAATGAAGCCATTTAAAGGCTAAGAGCAGGCATTTGCCTTCTGAAGATGATTATATATTATGAGAATGTGGAGGCACAGTACCTGAAAAATGAACTGTTGCCCTCTTGAAGGGGGTTTCCATTCATTTCTTCGAAATAATTCTTGTTTCTTGACATGCATCACCATTCCAGATTCCAGCGAGACTTGGTCCTGAACTCTTGCTTTTTGAAGTTTATATGCTTTTTAACAGTAAGAGATTAAGGTTACATTCTGTGCTCTCTAGGTGATTAATGATCACGTGGTTTCAAATCATAGCAGGGTGTCTACGCCTAACAGTGACAGGTTGGGCCAACAAACACTGCTTACATCCTTTCATCATCATCACCACCATCGTCATGCTTCACACCTCCTAGGCATTCTACTTTTCATTCTTAGAATGACATGCTTTTGAAAACATGATTGACATTCACGTAAAGTGGATCTTACTGATTCATTTTGCAAAGCACACTGAATAAAAAGGAGACCTCTATGAACTAGCATGCTGATTTCATGCTCGTACCAGGAACAAAAACAGGAGATCTGATTCATAGGCTCAGTTTTCTTTGGAGATTAGGTCTACCTGCTTAGTCATTCCCTTCCTAAACCTAGCCCTTGCTACCTCAAAAATCACTAGATAATGTTATAGTACTTGTGAAATTTGAAAAACATTGAAAAGTGAAAAAGCTACATCATGAGTTCCCTGTGTAGGAGAATACAAGTACATAACATTCCACTTTGGTCAGTCAGTATTTTGCAAGTATTATAGTTGCAATAATGAAAAGTGGTTTCCTTTCTAGGATTAAGTAGTTTATAAGTGCATTTAAAATCTTTCCTGAGTACTGACTGTGAGAGGATCATGTCTCAGAGATAAAATATATGAAAAGTATGAGCATATGACCATAGGTAATTTTAAAAATGCTTAAGTTATTTAGGTGTTCAGGTATTTCTGTCCAAAATGCATAGGTCCTGCAGGCTGATAAATTTCATTGAAAGTCATTTCCAAAACAAAGAAAGTGAATACATAATCTGTTCTATCAATGAATACTAAATCCAATTATAGTTAATTATCTCTCACAATTTAATTTAATTAATAATACTTTATAAAACACGTTTTATTTTTTTGTAAAATACCATGGAGCAAGTTTTGAAAGACTGTTGCTTTTTTTTCACATAGCTTGGCAAAATTAGGTAAGGTTGTTTTTTATGTGATGGACCTAAACTGCATCTAGACCAAAGGCTCTCAGTTTTGGAAATTCTGTTCTTAAAAGACCTAAGACTAATATTTTCTATGGCAGCTTTTCTAGCTGAACGTTGGTAATGAGCTGGTCTTTTCCTGAAAAAAGCTACCTTTTCCTTAAGAGGAGAGCAATGCACTGTCTGGGTCAATGGTTCTGCTGTTGCATTTCTCTCCTTTATTTATTTTTAACTTTGTGTGAAAACCTTGTATCCAGCTGTGCAATAAAGACTGCTGGAGAGAGTTACAGCCATCACTTGTATCATAACTAAAAAATGTAACTGTAGAACAGCACTATTGTCATTACCTTGTATCCGCCGGGCTCCAGATTGTGGCACTGAAGGTCTTTTCTTATGTATCACGGTGTGACTGAGTTCTTCCTGTGTCATCTATTAGAAGATAGAACTGTTTATACTACTTTGATATATATTTTCTCTCAGCAAGGAGCAGCAGTACAGGCACTTACCTCAGGGGGCAAATACCTGAGAACAAGTTTCTGCAGGAAGGGCTTCCTTAGAATAGAACTGATGGATGGTCGATCTCTTGGTGATATTTTAAACAGCTGGGAAATTAATATCCTCAGATCATAGGAATAGCTGGGAGGCACTGGGTGAAAACGTCCTCTGCAAATTTTCAGCACCAGCTCATGCAAGCTATTGCCTTCAAACTTAATGAAAACAGTAAAAAGAGGACAGTAAGTACTGATGGTTGGCAATAATGAACTAGACACCTCAACTTGAAAAAAGGCACTTGCTGATACAATCAGAGAATCATGGAATGCTTTGGGTTGGAAGGCATCTCACAGATTGCCTAGTTCCAATTCCAGACATGGGCAGGGACACCTTCCACAAGACCAGCTTGCTCAAAGTCCCACCCAACCTGGCCATGTACACTTCCAAGGTTGGGGCACCCACAACTTCTCTAAGCGACCTGTTCCAGTGTCTCACCACCCTCACAGTAAAGAATTTCTTCCTAATATCTAAGTTTACCCTCTTTCACTTTAAAGCCATTTGCCCTTGCCCTATCAGTAAATGGCCTTGTAAAAAGTCCCTCTCCACCTCTCTTGTAGCCTCCTTTAGGTACTGGAAGGCTGCTCTAAGTCTCCTTGGAGCCTTTTCTTCTCCAGGCTGAACAGCCTCAACTCTTTCAGCCTATCTTCACAGGAAAGATGTCCCAGCCTTCTGGTCATACTCATGGGTCTCCTCTGGACTCATTCCAAAAGGCCCACATCCTCCTTATGTTGGGGGCTCCAGGCGAGGTCTAATGAGAGCGGAGTAGAGGGGGAGAAGTCCTGTGCTATGCAATCCCTTCACAAATCATTTCTTACTAACCACAGTTTGCTGCAGAAAATGAATATAACCACTTTGATTGTATTTTCTGGTAATGTTCTCCCTGTTTCAGCTGCATAGCTTAAAAGATCCAATAGATTCTGTACCTGGAAGAGTTTTATTTGTACTCTGCCATCATACAGTAATGCAGAAGCAATTTTTCCAGAATGAAATATGATTTATTTTGCCAAATATTGTTCACAGAGACCTGCCTACATATTGTATTCACATTGTTCACCTTCAAAACTTAACAGCTTCTTGGGAACAAAGATACAATCCTGATTTTTTAACAACTGACACCAATCAGATAAATAAGTCCCCTCAGTTCTTAAAGATCTCTTAAAAGGCCAGCATGAATATAATTTCTAAGAGCTTAGACGGGTGAAAATAATTTTGAAAGCAAATTCTTCCTAAAATTACCGTTTTGTTTATAGGGCTATTTTGAAGGTGGTGTAACCAAAAATTGTCTTAGCTTCACTTGCATTTCTTCTCTATATCTGTACTAAGTCTCTGCCTTCAAACGGAAAAAGTGGGCAGCAATACAGAATAAAACACCTAGTATTTATACAAATTAACATTAATGTTTTCCCACTTCGTGAAATCTGAAATTTTCCTCAGCAGTATCCCCCTTGCTCTTAACTTAGCACAACTGCTCTCCCTATCAGTGCTGCTCTAACTTCTCCCACATCCAAGCTCAGCAAAAGATCAACTTCTGATGGGCCCAAGAGATTTTGTTGTCAAGATTAATTTCTGCTGTGTTCCCTTCTTCACATATGATACAGATTATCTGAGGCTTAGATAAGGGTGAGGACAACACAACTTCCTGAAGATAATATCTCAGTTATTTTCTAACATAAATGTGCTTTCAAACAAAGCAAAACAAAGCCTTTAGGAAAATACTTCTGCAGGCTCAAACTGCTTGATGGAGAAATGTGGGTTTCAAATTCTTTATTAAGTATAGATTGATATATTCAAATACAAATGAATAAAATTATATGGCTGAACCTAACCTTGAAGTCTGGCTTTAATTCTTTCTATTGTTCATCTGCCTTTTGGAAAAGTTTAGTACTTTTTAAAGAGTAAATTTATGCTCAAAGTGTGTACACACACGCATATATGTAAGTTATAGGAACACAGCATAATACATTTTATTATGCACAAAACAGACACAATATGAAAAAATAAACACCAAGAGTCAATTTTTAAGATCAATAAATAAGCTGAAAATAATTCTAGTAGCTGACTATGAATACTATTACTACTAGAGTTTTTCCAAGATGTCAACTGTATTTTAAAATAATACAATAATGATCCGATTGCACAGTACTTACAGGATGTTTTAATGTGCATAGTTCATAAAGCACACAGCCAAGAGACCAAATATCTCTGTGAGTAAAAAGTAATCAAAGTTTCAGTTAAAAGTCTATAATATTCTCATACATGAAATCAGTACCTCCTCTCAACTGTCACATTTATTATTATTGCATTTTTTTTCTTAAGATGCATGGAAAAGAACAGCTAGAAATTTCTTTTTAGTTGTGGCACCAATTCTTCTATGATACCTAACTAGGTATTATAATTGTAATTGGAAAAGGCACGTGGCAAAGAACGTCTGCTTAATATTTCTAGCAGCATGAAGGACAAAGCTGACTTTGATAGTTAAGGAGACAACAAGGGAGTACACTTGTGTGAATACCACCTCAGAGCTGAGATGTTAGTCTGGGCTCCAGAGCATTTGGTGTTTATCACATGCCCCACACAGAAGGGGGTCTATCCCACTCAGCTCCTGACCTCATAGTGCTTCTCATCTAGTGTTTTGTGTTAAGCCTGAGTGGGCCATTTTGCAATTCTCTGACCTATATGTATTTTCTGGAGGTGGCTGTTGCAAATTTCCAAAATAGGAAACCTAGCAGCTTTCATTTTAGTGTATAAATTTCCTATTATTTTAGTGTATAAATTTTAGTGTATAAATTTCCTATTATTTTAATGTATAAATTTCCTATTTTTTCCAAAATAGGAAACCTAGTAGCTTTCATTTTAGTGTATAAATGATAAGTGAATCTATCAAAAAATTAATAAACTTTGAACTGGAAAGATTCATTGGTGATCGCATGTTGGAAACAAGAGAGAAATTTAGTATTTGATGGAGAAGCAGATAAAGCAAAGGGGAAAAGAAATCTGTTTTACATTTACCACCACTGCTAACAAGAAGTATTAAAGGAGAGTTAAAAGTACAAGAAATTTTATATTTAAAAAAAAATGTAACTATGTTAAGCCTGTAGATTAATCATGACAAAGTCATGATGGCTACATTCTGGACACTGTGAGCCAAAATACTACTGACATTGTTGTATAGTATAACATAGTTGTTATCTACAATGATGCATCTAATTATTGTACACAAATAACACAAAACTTCACAATAAGTGACACGTGAACTTCCTGGTGCCCTGCACAAATACTGATTTAAACCATAGTATTATTGAAATGAGTTCTTTCATGTCTGCACACCCTCATGCCTAAGCATATGAAGGAAAGACAGAGACTTACGTTTTGTTGTTATATGGCCGATTTTCACAGATCTCAGGTGACAGATAATAGGGGGTCCCTACACATGTATGGGCGAACTCCATAGTGCTAATGAAACATAATGAACAAAAAGGAGCACTTACACAATGAAAAAGTTTACGAGTAATTTAATTAGAGACTTCTCTGTCCCAGGGTAAAAGCCTGTGGGGGACATTATTTATGCTCTCCAAATAGCTGAATAAGCGAACACCCCATGAAAAACTACAATATTTCCCAGTTCTGTGTAGAAATGACGCAGTCTTCTAATAGTATTTGTACTTCAATGGAAAGCACAAGAATTCCCTGTCCTTATCTTAAACCATGAGCTTTTCATTATATTTTCTCTCTTCTGTCCAGTCGAGGAGGGGAGTGACACCAGACCTGGTGTCAACTCACCACGGAAACTTAATTTGCTAGTTACATGAGGAAAAGGACTATCAAGCTCTAATTATATTGTTCCATATGGCTACTAAATAAATTTTGAAATATCTGTACTTGGACATTCAAATTCTGAGGTTTACTTCCTATCTGCTATGTACTATTCTGCTGTGTGGGTGCAATCCTTAAAGTGGTTATTCCCAGAACACTTATGAAGGTAGGTACTTTCTGCATAACTAGTTTGCGTGCTGAGGGTAGGTCTGGACTCCATAGAGGAACACACCACAAAGATATGAGAGCTGGCAGAGACTGCAGCTAGAACACCAAGATGGCCTATGCCTGGAGATGAGGAGTTTTTGACCAAGGTACTAACCAAACATGCTAACCCGATCTACTCCAACTCTTCAGCAAGAATTCCTAGTCTGATGCACCACTGAACTTGCAAGGTTATGTAGGCCCACATCTAAAGCCAAGCTAATGGAGCCTTAACAGAAGTTCCATGGGGTGTATGTCCATGTGAAGAATACATACAAGTACCTAATATATGTAGCACAGTTACGTACATCTGAAGAGAGGCACCAAAATATCTGTGTTGGATAAAGTTCTTGGTTATCTTTACTGATGTTGTATAGACAGAAATGTGGATAAAGTTAGCTGACTTAATCTAGGGCTAGGAAAAATTTTTAACAAGTGAAGTGCAGTGGGTAAACTACAAAGCAACTGAGAAGGACTGACAGTAGAAGGACAAAATGAAAAATGATCAACAGACGAAATTACCTTTCCATGCAATACCTAGAAAAATTGTGGACCTTCTTTACCACAATATCCTCACAATGATAAACCAGGAACCACAAAAAGGGATCAAATTTAAGCATTTTCCTCTTGTTAGCATGATCCCTGGTATGTTTTGGCCACACCTGGCCACTACATACGATAGGCCAACCTTATCCACAAAGTCAGTAAAGATAAGGCTGTTTCTTTTGGGAGAACAGAGATTAGCCATACCGATGAATGCCATGCCTTACTCTCAGGCCCAGAAGGGGGTTCCGGGTGCTTTTAAAAATCAGTATAGGCTCGGTCTTGGAGGAAAACACAAAGAAAATCTGTACAAACTCTTCTTACACTCTAGTTTTTAATGCTCTTCATTTTGGTTTAATGAAGCAACAGAAGTTATTATCAACAGCAGCACAAACAGGAACTGTGCCTCCAGAATCTCTTTATGTCAGTTCCACAGAGAATAGGGAAAGACTGTGGCTTCTCCTATACCTAACAGAAGTCCAGTTACTGGGCTAGACACATCTGTGGTTCCATGCAGGATGGCATGTTTTAGGATAACGGGTTAAAAAATGCAGCATCAGACCCCTTGTATTTCAGAGCTCTCGAACAAGACAATCCACAAACAATTTGCACATTCAGGTCACATTCTGAACATTCACAAACAGTCCTGTTTGGTGTAGGTCACAGATTAATTAAAAATGGTGCTTACCTGTTCAACTGTCTTGCTATGCCAAAGTCCCCAAGCTTTGCTACCTTTCCATTACTGCTAAGAAAAATGTTCTGCAAATAAAAACAAAACTGGTGTGTGAAAATGAATCATGGCTTCTTATGCACATTTTTCACTGGACAAAATGGCCCCCTCTCCAGTACTAGTTTTACTACCTGTGCTTTTACATCTCTGTGTAAAATCTTCTTGTCATGAATATGCTTCAAACCCAAGGAGATCTGCACAAACCAACTGAGAATCTGCAGGGAAAGTTAAAGGAAACAGATACCTATGAATCTGTGTGACTCTAATGTCCAATTGGGTATTTTACTGAAATATATAAAATAAAGACTACTACAAAATCTAAAATATGTAAAACATATGCAATGTAAAATAGTAAAAATAATATTTTTAAAACTAACGCCATAGGCTTTTCCTTTCCAATTAGTTCTATCACTAGACCTTAATTTAGAAATGAGGGAGTTCAAATAACAACTAAGACAGAATTGGAAAGTGTCTTCTAAATCTTCAGTGATGGAAATCGTACCACCTAGTTATAATACTTGTAGTACTACTAAATGTAGTCCAGGGGAAAAAAAAAAAAAAAAAAAGGGATGGTCTAAAACACGGTGAAAAAAGGGAGCTATGAAGAAACTTGCATAATAAGTAAGCACAAAGGTGCTTAGTTTATCCTTGACTCAGTACAGCTTTTAAACACATATTTAAATTCAAATATACGTGTCTTCTTGAAAAACAGCCTTTGTACTTAATCCAGAAACAAAAGTACAATGTGCTTTTATGCATCTCTATTTAGGAAAGTCCATGGGCGTGAAAGACTTTGATTAAAGCAATAATCTTCTATTTATTAATGCTTCATATTAAGTAGATGATTTCCTGAATACGGCTGATGCCACAAATTAGACTTTCTTAGGCATACATTTGAAACTTTAAAGATGTTTTAACAATGTTAAGTTAAATTGGGTAATTTGCTTTACTTTCTTGATTGGCATTTGTATCTTTAGTTTCTATAATCTGTTCTTTTGTCTATTTCCTTTTCCTTTCTTTCAATATGTATTATTCTGGGTCATTGTCAAGGGATTTGTGTGTGTTGGCTCTTTCATGTTTTCATGATCTCTGGGTTTGTCCTCTCTTTATTTTCTTTCATGTTCTCTCTATTATGACTCCCAATGGAGTTATTACTGAACCTGTAATTCACTTTCAATTCACTTCTACACTGAGGAGTTCCTCTTTTCCTACTAAAGCAAAAAGAAAAGTCACAATACTTTTTTTTTTCCTTCACTTTTATGCTTTAGAGTATATTTCCACTAACAGGTTGGACACTATCTATCTGGTTTCTAAGCAAGATTTCATTGTACCTGCAAAAGACTATGCATGATTAAATAATCACACGGTTCATTACACTAATTCCAATACATAAGAGAAAATTTCCTTCAGAAAGGTAGGAGTCAGCAAAAAAATAAAGGAATAAGAAAGGAATAGTGGGAAATTCTATTTCTGTGAATCACAATACTTATCATGCTCACCTATTTACAAAATAAAATTTATGTGAACATGGTTCAAAAGCAGCCAGATATCTGGGCTTGTTTCTCTGTGCTCATTTAAACGGCATCAGAGAAATCTTGACCCAAATGAAATAAATGAGAAACTTACCATGGACTTCAGTATAGAGCAGGATATGCCTTGATAGCCAGTAGCATAAACAAATTAAGAATTTGTATATAATATATACACCCTAATTCGAAAACAGTCTTTAAAAGAAAGTCTTTATGGCTTAATAGGTATAATACCAATATAATAAAATCTACATCTATGATGGAAGGAGCAGTGGGAGAAAGGGGGGATAAGAAATGTCATCATACTGCTAATGAATTAATTTCAGATCTTAAAGCAGTGTTAAAAACAAACCCTTCCACTCCTACTAAAATTACTTAAAGTTTCCTTTAAAAGTTCAATTATTTTAGCAGGCCAGAAAAGAAACAGTAGCTAGTACTGGATAAATCAAACCACGTTTTACACAATATGTCCTTTCCTCTAATGATAACTTCTTTCACCTGGTCCTCGTCAAACAGTACTCCATGCTGCATATTTATCCGCTTCATTAAATCTCCACCATCACAGTATTCCATCACAATATATAGCTTGTTCTTTTCTGAAAGGAAAAATGTGATTTTTCCTTTATTCCTTTATTTATTCATTAACACAGCAATAAATCATAGTTATCCTTTATGGTCTTTCTCTCAAAAGGTAGTAGTTAAACTCTACCTACTCCTCTATTTCAAAGAAAAACTGAGAAAAAACCCCGAATATTTCCAAGTGAAACCTGATGCAAAACTAAGGCATTAAAAATATTTAAATGAAGACTCACCAAAATATTAAATACATGAGAAAACCCTCAAGAGACCCCACTGATAGAAAGAGAGATGTTCTTACAGGAATACTTAGAATGCTTCGTAGTTGAGGTCTTTTCCCAGTAATAACTAAGTATGCAGTTAGGCTTAGGGAAAAAGTTAAAAGTAGGCAGTGTCAAAAGAGTAGAAATAAACAACAGGGCCTGCTTAATACTGAAATTCATCCTATTCTTACCCCTCTGGGACTCAGTAGACTACGTGATTTATATGTTTCCTAAAACATTTACAGTCCTGATCACACAAAACAACTTGAACACACGCTGCAACTATAGCATTCATTGCATAAGGTATTGCTTATGGCAGATGTCAGCAGGAACAATAAATACAGGGAATTAGCTTTTATGGTGAACAGACTTCCCTCTATCTCTTTCGATCCTGAAGAATTCTGTATCCTTGAGTGATACCTCAAAATACGGTTTAAGAGAAAAGATTAGTACAGCACTATGAGCTTGATATTGGATGATGGAAAAGGCTGTATTATATCAAGGTTTGAAATACCAATGTTTTTTTTCCATTCCAGATGATGAAAGATATTTTCAGGTTTACTAATAGCTTGCATTTCTATTAAATGGTCTCTTTTTGTGCTTGCCTGTTTTGTCTGTGTGTGTATTTATATGCACACATATGTATGTAAATTAGTATATATGTGTGTATGTATATAGGATGTATGTATCATATTCATATAATGTCACGTATGTGATGTCGATAAACATAATACGAGGAACATAAGGTTGGATCTGATTAAATGATCATTCTATTTCTTGCCTATTTGAACAGCCTTTTGTCCTATTTGATCAGTTTATTCCTTGCTGTACTCAAAAGCTCTCTTCTATTGAAACACCTAGAAAGTTTCACTAAATTCTGGACTCCTATAGGAGACCAAGACTAAAGTTCAACTTATGAGGTACAGGCACCACAGAATCTAGGAGTCATGCCACAGTACCCACTCACACTCATGAAGAGGGCAACTGATGACTGAATTTGATGCCTCGTGTCCATTTTTAGGATGTGGGACTTGTTAGCACTTTTAAGTAAGGGCTTAGGGACAGGGCTAAGGTTGGTCAAAATTAACTAATTGGGTTTTCTGCCTTCCACTCTTTTAATCACAGTAAAATAGAAGAGTTAAAAGTAAACCTTGCAATGAAGCATAGAAGGTTACAATGTTTGCATGCTTCATCTGGGCCAGAAGAACGACTTCTTTCTGAGAGGCTTCTTTTTCTTTCACAGGCATCTACAAAGAATTAAGAAACTATATGCTAGCAACGATATATTTAACTATTTTTAAAAGTTTTCACATCATTATAAAACTGTTCCCACAAATACAAAAATACTGTGTACCAAGGTAATAAAGAAATATCAAATATTATCCATATATAATGTAAAATATAAATTTGCAGTGTATGCTTGGAAATATATTAGAACATTACTGACGTCAAACCAAATTATGAGATTTTACAAACAAGCAAATATAATACCTTAAACCTTTTTACAAAAATGCTATTGGTAAGGTAGCTGACGAGTAGAGTTAAACTCTGATGTTAAACTTCCCTTAAGTACTCGAAATATATGGGTCTTGATGATTCTCTATTCCTACTACGGAGGATCACAAAACAATAAAGCAAAAAGGGAAAAAGGGTCTCCTTTTTAGTGATGTTTAGTGATTTTTTTTTTCCTTTGCCCTGGGGGAAGTAGGAAGAGGGAAGAGAGGGACTGCTACTGGGGGGTTGGGCATTTGGCAGGGAGCCAAGTCCAAACCATCATACTAACAAATATTTTTGAAATGTAATCCTCAAAGATTAAAAACCAATAAAGTGAATAAAACACATCCTATCATATAAAAAACTTTAGGACTTCAAAGCAGTAAATTTCTGTATTCAGCTCCTGATTTTTGAACAAGTTGGATCCACTGTAATATTTCATTAGCTGCCATTTTTCTATTTTGTGAACATCAAAACCTACGACTGGAAATACATGGGGTTTATTGGTCACGAGAATAGACAGAAAATATTTTTGCATTTAGTTGTGTTATGGGTTTGCCCCAATTCAGCTCTTTCTAAAATAGAGGTCTAAAACACACATAATCAACAGCTTCCTAATAGTACCTATTTCTCTTGTTCTCCTGGAAAGGGAGTCTAGCCAAGCAGCTCAAATGCTGACAACAACAGAATGGAAGTTTAAAATTAGATGATATGAATCAAACTGACATAAACACAAATGAGAATTGGAAAGGCACCACTGTGAATTACTTATGTCTGAAAAGATGCATGTGGGAAAAAAGGAAATTAAAAAGCTTAGAGAAATGTATCACAAAATTGTGATTTGTTGTTTCAGTGGCAATATTTTCATTGTAGTTAAATCAACAAACATAAAATTTGTATTAGGCAGTGTTACGCAAGTGGGTAAAGTTTGAAAAGAACAAAAATGCAGTAAAAAGTAAAGAATATTGAAATATGTATTTTGTTTATTCTTGTAAAATACTCAATTAGCTAAGACTGCAGTCTTTGGAAAGTTTAGCTCTATATAACTGAGATGGAACTACCAAGGAGATAAAACATAAGCCAAGTTCATATCCTAGCTAAATGCAAGTAGGATAATCCAGTAAATATAATGTTTTTTTTTTTTTTGTTTACCTTAGTTAAATTGATCTCTTTGATAACACATGGCTCATTATCCATTTTTCCTTTTGCCAAGAATATTTTGCCAAAAGATCCTTCTCCGATTTTTTTAATGATTTCATATTTATCCATGATGTCTTCAACTTAAAACAGTGGCTAAAATAAAAAGTGCTCAAATTAGTCTTGTACGTAGTCAGTGCTGCAACATCTAAGTTGGATGCTAAGGAAAGAGACACTACCTTTTAAGACTGCCATTTTTATAATTTTTTATTACATTTTATCACATTTTTATTACTGCTGCTGCACCTCCCTAAAAATATCATCCTCTGGAATTATCTGCAATAATTTTTGCAGATCTGAACTTTCAAAAAGCAGAAAGTTTATCAGTGTCTTATAAAGAAAATCCTAGTACACCCTAAAGTTAATACATGAGAAGGCAGTGGAGACTACTATGTAATATTAGGATATAATTTCAGAAAGTGTGACTCATTATTTCTTGAAGTTAACAATACTGTGGAATCATTCTTTTCATGGAAAAAAATAGCTTTAATCTATTTCATGTTGATTTAGTTTATACTAATGTGAACTAATGTTAGCAACAACATGAAAAGCCATTGCATATCTCAGGAGACCATGGCCAAGTGCAGTCAGGCTTTAGCAGTCATCTGGAAACATCTGACAGGAACAGTAATGTCACTGGGTACCTTGCATAAGTTCCATAAGCATACTTGCACACATAAATACGAGCAAGCACACATAAATACGAGCAAACTCTACAAAACTGTTCTTACTAGTTGGCCTGAGTTTTAGCAAGGGAGATTTGCTCAGATACCAGACACTCCCTGCCAGGCAGGCAAAGGAAGCTCCGCAACAGGCTCCCTCGGGAACCCACATAGGCTGCATCGCTGGCAGTCACCAAAGACCACTCTGGCAGTGCAAGTAGGGTGACCTTCGGGCATTTATAATTTCGATGTTTGGGTAAAAGCCAGCTCCTGTTGGCAGTCACAGGTGAGAGGCGGCCACTCGGGTCAGATGAGCTTCTCAGCCCGGCGTGCCGTGCTGCCCCCGGGCAGGGGTGCGCTGCCCGCTAGGCTCAGCCCCGCTTCCACAGGCGACACCCCTTGCCCCCCGCCACCCGAGGAGGGCAGCTTCGTGGCCGGGGCGCTGGGGAGGGGAGGGCAGCAGGACCTACGCCGACTCACGGGCGGTGGTCTATAGCCGCGCTCGGGGCTGGGGCAGAGGCAGCGCGGGTGTCGCGGGGAGGGGATGCCCCCGGCATTCCCGCCTGGCACCGCTCTCCGCCGCCCTTCCCACCCCAGCTGTCCGGCCGTCCCCATGGCGACGGGACGCGCCGGCGGTCAGCCCTCGCCGGTGCCTCCCTCCCCTGGAGACCTGCTCGGCTCGGCTCGGCTCGGCCAGGCTAGCCCCGGCCAGGCTAGCCTTGGCCAGCCCCGGCCGCCGCCGTGGTTGCCGCGGGGGTCGCGGTACCTGAACGCGCTCAGCCACCACCGGAGCCCGCACGGCCGGGAAGGGAGGAGGAGGAGGAGGAGCCGGCCCCGGGCTCCGCGCCCTTGCCGGAGGTGGGGCATTTGCAGCGTCCTTCGGGAGCAACAGGAGCCCTTATTTCCCTGACGCAAACCGCCCTCTCCGCCCACGACAAGGGACTTCGGATTTGGGTGGTCAGTAATAAGAGTGGCGCGAAAGCAAATCTCGACTGCCTCAAGCTGTTGCATCCTCGGTGGAAACTCAAGTACCGGCCCACGAGCAATAGGGGAGGTGCGGCAAGAGCTGGCTCCGTACCAAATCTACAGATTTCCTAAAGCTTTCCTTGGGTATTATTCTCCAATATTATTTATTACATGGTCATTGTCCGGGACGGCTTCCCCAGGAGAACTCTGCCGAAAGCGCACTCTCCTCCGAAACACTTGTCTTGTAAAGTGTCTTGTACCCGTTAGCCAGCACAGAGCCCAAACATGACATTGCCCATAGCGCTCTCTGGAGTGGAAGTTGGAAAATTTGCCCTTATTTATGAACAAATTTGCTTCCTTTCACACATGCATATTAAAAACACTTTTCATTGAATTAAGGCAAAAGTTCAGTCTCAAGAATTTTCAGGGGATTAACTGCATGAAATAAAGCCTCAAATATTTTGCATAGCTAAGTGTTTCCCATAATAGGTCCTTTAGATAACATCACTTAAAGTATTTAAGTCTTGGGTTTGTGTGTCAAGGTTTTGTTAGCAGGGAGGAGCTACACGGGTGGCTTCAGCAAGAAGCTTCCCCCATGTCTGACAGAGGAAATTCCAGCTGGCTTCAACACAGACCCATCCGCGTCCCTGTCAGTGTTCTCCTCTCTGCCCTCCTTTAATCTGATATTGCAGAGGCACTGCCACCATAGCTGCTGAGCTCAACCTTGACTAGTGAAGTGAAATTGAGTCTGGGAAGAAGGGAGGGGTGGGAGGAAGGTGTTCTAAGATTCTGGTTTATTTCTCATTACTCTGCTCTGATTTGATTGGTAATAAATTAAACTGATTTCCTCAAGTCAAGTTTGTTTTGGCCATGATGTTCATTGGTGAATGATCTCTCCCCATCCTTATCTCCACCCACGAGCCTTTCATTAAATTTTCTCCTCCCTGTCCAGCTGAGGAGGAGACTAACAGAGCGGTTTTGGTGGGCTCCTGGTGTCCAGCCACAGTCAACTCAACACAAAGTTGTTAATTCAGTATGTAGTCAGGAAGAATAACTTTACATCTTCTCATAGTGTTTCACTGTCTCTTTGAAATATAACAAGAGAATAATTTGGGCAATGCTATTATTTGACTGATCAATTCTGCAAAGCTATTACCAACTCCAAATACATTTAATATCAGGACTTGCTTAGTTATTTGCAAGTGTTCTATCTGAAAAAGTTGGTTGTGCATTTTGCATCCTCAGTTTTGTGATGCAGAAAACATACCCACTTGGAATTTTACTGAAATTATTTAATTAATAATCAATTATTAACAGCTATTTTGATGATAAAGACCAGCACACCTAACTTCACTTATCATAGGTAAATTCAAGTCTTCAGTCACTGTATTTCAATGCCATTTTCAGTTCTGACACCCAATCTGGGTCATCTTCCTCAAAGTCCCTAAAAATAGATTTCAAAATGTTATTTTACAAAGCAAAATACAACTTCATAAATATTTGCCTTTTTTTTTTCCCCATGAAAAAATTACCCAATAACTAGGATAAATTATGTTAAAAATATCAGCACAAGAGATGTATTTCCTGCAACACTGTGATTAAGGGGCCAAAAGAAGTTCTCTTTGGCATTTACTAAAGTAAGTTTTATCAAAAGCAAAACCAAATTCATATATTAAGAGACCGAAAATGTTGATATTGACAGCCTGCAGCTGAACTACAGCAATACATGCCTAAGTAGTTCATCTGTAAGTGCCACAAAAATAAACTGTGACACAAATTGAGACTCTGAGAATCCAAGAACCACCCCCAAAACATACACACATCCTCTGGACCTGCTCCAACAAGTGTGCTGAGGACTCCAGAGCTGGATGCAGCACTCCAGGTGGGGTCTCAGAGCAGAGCTGAGGGGCAGAATCACCTCCCTTGACTTGCTGGTCACACTGTTTTTGATGCACTTAGGATGCAATTAGCCTTCTGGGCTGCAAGTGCTCATTGCTGGGTCATGTCCAGCTTTTCATGCATGAGAACCCTCGAGAATCTGCAGGGCTGCTCTCAAAGAGTTCTTCTCCCAGTCTGTACTCATGTTTGGGATTGCATGGACCCAGGTGCAGCACCTAGACATTGAGCCACTGACCACAACTCTCTGGCTGCATCCATCTGTCCATCCGTCCATCCATCCACCCATCCATCCATCCATCCATCCATCCATCCATCCATCCATCCATCCATCCAATCAGTTTCACCCAAGCTCAGCCATTCTCTGATTCTATCAATTATAAATTATTAGAACTGAGAAAACTACTTGATAGTCTCATCATCATGTAGATTTCTCCCTACAACAGGGAAGTGAAATTCAAGAGCCAAATAGGCAAAGAGCCTCATTAGTCATCTTGCTTCCTGGAACTCTTCACCATTATTACTTAAGTCTCTTCTTAAACCATTGCTAACCTGTGGTCCTTCAGCTTCATAAAGACACTTGGTTTGAGATTCATACCTTCCAAGGGAGTGACCATGAGCCCCTTTTCAAGTCCATGGGAAGACACACAAATTTCATCATCTGTAATAGACTGGACTTCTTGTTTCCTGGAAGAGCTGGCCTCTTCTCTGAACCCAGGCAATAGTCTTCAAATACTGACAATACAAGAGATGTGTCTTGAGTTGAGAGATGTGAATCCAGCAGAAATCGCTTCTGTAAACACACCACAGGCTTTTCAGGGAACTGCTCAGTCAGGGAAGAGCAAAATTAAGAGAGAGAAAACAATGCCTGTGGCACCCTTCTTAGAGCTGTTGGTTCAGAAATGGAATGTAAGGCCATGCTCACTGGACCTCCCAACAGAACTCTTCCAATTTACCTGCTTACATAAATGTAGAGATGCTCTGGTAAAAACTACTCAGTGGTATTTAGGACAGTCAAAATATTTAAATAAAACCACTAGTAAAATAGCCAATAAAACTTTGAGCTTTTGAGCTTTTATGATGAACAGACTTTCCTCTATCTCTTTCGATCCTGAAGAATTCTGTATCCTTGAGTGACACCTCAAAATACCGTTTAAGAAAAAAGATTAGTACAGCACTATGAGCTTGATATTGGATGATTGAAAAGGTTGTTATTATATCAAGGTTTGAAATACCAATGTTGTTTTTACATTCCAGATAATGAAAGATATTTTTAGGTTTTCTAATAGCCTGCATTTCTATTAAATGGTCTTTTTTGTGCTTGCCTGCTTTGTCTGTGTATTTATATGCACACATATGTATGTAAATTAGTATATATGTGTGTATGTATATAGGATGTATGTATCATATTCATATAATGTCATGTATATGATGTCAATAAACAAAGTTTATTGACCAATAGTCAGGATAACTCCATTTGAAACTGAGGGATTTTCTGACTTCAAAGAGGCTATGCAGCCATAGGTGATGGTTGAATGCATTAGTAATTAGTAATCCTTGCTAGATTTTTCTTCCGCTATCTAGTT